AGCTCAACCAAAGCGCTGTCTGCTGCTGCTGCGAGAGCACGGGAAGGTTGCAGGAACAGAGGTGACACCACACAGACTGCACCTCAGACGTCTACAGGTCCAGGAGGATCAAATCAAAGTCACAGACGAGGTAAAAGACGAGCGTGAGCATGCATTCATTAAGATTCAGAAGATTTGTTTGATTGTGTTAAGATTTGTGCATGATGTTAAAAGCTGAATGATGGTGTGAAAATGCTGCGTCAGGAGTCATGAAGGTAGAAAGGTAATTTTAAGGTACGTCAGACAGCAGAGAGTTTCATTCAGAGCTGCAAACAACAAGAGCTTTAATTAGAAATTAATCTGTTAGATAAGTCAGTTATTCTTTAAAAGAGAAATCAGTAAGATTTTTTATATTTTTTCAAATATGAATTATTGTTTTTATTGATTATTATTATTATTGATTATCTTCATTTTTGCCTTGACTGCTGTAACAATGCAAATTCACCTGTTTTGGGATTTATAGAGGATTCTCTTGTCTTATATAAATATTATAATTTAAGTTTACTAGACAGGATAATCTACATTATTTAAGATAAAAATAAGATAAGATAAGATATACTTTATTCATTCCAGCAGGGAAATTTAGGTGTCCCAGCAGCCAGCATACATACAAACACACAACACAACACATATATACATACATATCCCACCCATACAAAAAAAACATGAGCCCACAGTATTATACAAAATTACATGTTGAAGGGACGCCCTACTGCTGACCCTACTCACTGCAATCAAATTAAAATAGCACAAGCAGGGGACACTTCTTACTTAAACAAAAGAAATGTAATTTTTACTTTTATTTGCACAAAAACTTCAGGCCACCCCTGCATAACTCAGGGTCTGGGATGGGCTGGGCCACCCCAGTCTAATAAGTCTGGGTTCGGCCCTGTTGGTTAGACTAACGCGCTTCTGAGCAGGTCATGTTAATTTGTCCAGGAGCAGCAGGACAGAGGGATCTGTTTATGGGAGGAGGGGGGGGGGGCAACAAGTGAACGACAGGGACTCAACTTTAAAGAGGGAAAAGTCAGACAACTTCTCAAGGATTTACAATCATCCCTCATCGAGAGTTGCGTCTGATTTCATTTCTGTTAAACTTTTCATATTGCGACTGATAAATTCTTCACACACATGCACAAACAGGATCCTATTCACTCATGGAGTGGGGTTACACATGAGGGAGCGGGGGGGTCGGTGCCTTGCTCAAGGATGTGCAGTGCTCAGGAAGTGAACCTGCACCTCTCCAGCTACCAGACTTGGTCCGCGACGGGACTTGAACCTATCGTCCCTACAGACCAAGCCGCTGCCGCCCCAAATCATTAACTCATAATGAAGAATAATTCTGTTCACACAAGTGGAAACACATTAGGTAATTATGTTGAGCCTTTCTTCTCCCACTAAGTGCATGTTAATGATATTCATTCGATGGTCACACACTGGAAAATAGGTCATCCAAAGAAAACCGGGTCTGCTCTTCTTTTTATTTCACTCCAGGGTGCAAGAGAACAAATTTTACTGCATTCTCATTTTTACAAATCTTATATAAAACATTTATGGCTTCAAATAAAAAAGATGAATCTGTAATTTGGTGCCATCTAGTGAGTTTAAAACCCAAAGACCTCTGATCCAGACATCCCACAGCCTCCCTGACCAGAAAGGTGTTTTATATGTCATTTATATAACAAATACAAAAAGGTAAATAAATGTAATGTTTGCCTGTTCAGTCAGGTGCTAATCATAATAAATCACATCTTGGGTGTGGCTGCAGCCTTACATGACATTTTAAACCCGTCAGATTAACACAATAGGATGAAACAATTAGAGGAAGGAGATCTGGACTGCAGATTAAATCATTTAATCGAGAATAATTCGACCAGTCATCCCATTAAAGATGGATATTCACAACACATCGCTTTAATTACCAACAACAAAAGATTATTAAATATTGTTTGATGGTTTTCACTTAGTTATTGGTCGTTTAAACCACAAAATAAATCATTTTTACGGCTGTAAATGTGATTAAAAAATCGACATTTCTGTGATTGTTGGTGCTGTCAGCTGTCAGCGGGACACTCCCTGACAGCCGTTAGCATGAGGAGCCGCTAGCTTCGGGTTAGCTTCCGTTAAAAACGTTTAAAAGACTTAATTATATAATAAAAACACACATGTATATAAACGTATATGTGTACAGGCAGATGAGTTTATGTTTTTTTATAATATATCCAATTGTCCAGGTGACATACATGCACTAAATCTTACCTGTTTGTGTCCTGAAATCGGGCTAACCGCTCAGCTTCGTCCCCGACAGGCTACATCCATCCATGGAGGTCTGACCGGACACATCCGCTGCGAGGTGTCCGGGCTGCTGCCTGACTCGGCCCGCCTCACAGCACCGGAGAGGCCCGCTGATACCAAACACACTTTCTTTTTTTTAAAATGTATTTCAAGTATTTGACTGTGTTCACAGGTGAGTTAATACAAGGTGAGCATGTTCAAAATAGACTGAATATTACTTGTTTTCTATCCAGACAGAAATAAAGTCATCATACTCTGAAACATTTCTTGAATAAACATGTTTATTTCAGCATTTTTTGACATTTTTCTATTTGTTAATATATCCTAAATGTATTTAATTCATTATTCATTCATTCATAATGAAAGACAAACATAAAACCTCAAATATAGAATGAAAAGAAGCAGAAAGAAGAATGATATCAGGTTTATTGTGCGTCCCTCTTTCATGAGACATTAATTAAGAAAGCTGATAATTCAGTAAAATTACAAAAGAAACAGGCCAACACAACCAGTTACAGCTCATTTTATACCATTCAAAGAAGATCACAGAATTATGAAACTTAGTGAACACATTTCATAACATTTCCTCAACATCTTGCCTTTAATTGTTTTGTATTTTAATAAAATATTTGCATTAGATTCTTTGGTTTCTCACAGTAAAGCAACGTTCCCTCAATTTGGTTCTGAATATTCATCATTTAAAGATCTCTCTTCCTTTTAAGTCTTAATGGTTCTCCTCTTTTGTAAAATGTTTTCTGGATGTTGGTGGGCAGCGGTTTCTGAGTTTTCTGAATAATTCATGAAACATCCACATGGGTTTGATGGATCTCTATTCTGGCAAGTCAAGTTCTCGTATTGGAAGACATTTTTTATAAAAAAAAAAAGAAAGATCAGATCTCAGTTGGATCCTCGCCCTGTAGCCACAGCCTTTCTCTGTCTCTCTAGAGATTCAACAGACTCGTTCTACCTGTTCCAACAGGTGTGAGACTTTTAAAGAGACCAGCGTGATGATGAAAACACCTATAGAGGTATAAAGAACTGAACACACACGTCATAGAAAACAGTCTCCTGACACCGTGATGGGAGGAGATCTAATCAAAGGTTCTCTAGATCAGTGGTTCTCAACCCGTGGGTCGGGACCCATAGGTGGGTCAGGGAGCTGTCTGCTGCCTGGAAAAAATTAAATTAAAGCACTTTAAAAAAAATGGTTTTGTTCCGTCAGACAGAGGCCTTTCTGTGCACACTCGTTAGGTTAACTGCTGACTCTAAATTCCCTGTAGGTGTGAATGTGAGTGTGTCTGGTTGTCTGTCTCTATGTCAGCCCTGTGATTGGCTGGTGAACACTCCAGGATGTAACCCCGCCTCTCGCCCCATGACAGCTTGGACAACACAACCCTGAACGGGACTCGCGCTATAGACGATGGAAGGAGGACTTCATGACAATATCAGAGCTTGAGATGAACCAAAAAGTATTTTTTTCTGCTGTGATTTAGCAACTTTCCCGCTCTTTTTTCTGAAGTGAAAAATCTGTTTAAATATGAGACACTAAATATTACCTTTCATACATTAGATGTTAGAAAAATCACAAATTAACTGTTTCCAATCAGAGAGTTTCACATGAACATCCTCTCACATTGGATTTACATCTTAGACAGTTTTAGAAAATGTTGGTACATGACACAACTAAAGATGAAATGACACCTGACAGGAGAACGGGGATGAAAGGAAGCAAGAGGTGGATTATCAGAAACTTTTTATTAGTTCTTGTTTTGCATATCAAGTTTCTGCAAACATTTAGTAAAATCAGTTTGTTACATGTTCTTCATGTAGAACGAGTTGGATTATTCAATAAGTTATTTTTAGCAACGACCCTGAAAAAGTCAGTGAAAACAACATTTTAGTGTTTTTACGAATGCAGCAAAAAAAAAACATCTTTTCAGTAACATCCACTTAGCTCAAACGTTACCCGCTAACTGGCAGTTTCCAAAGGATCCATGCGTGCCGCGTTATGTCTGCGCCGCGCATTCCACAGTTTATCACACCCGGTTCAACGCCACGCGATCCGTCTCTGGAGCGTGCCAGCAGCGCCACTCTGCTCTGCTCCGTTTCAAACACGCTCCGAGTCTATGGTTGACAGAACCTGCTGCAAGTACGTGTCAAACTGAACAGAGCAGATCCACCCAAACAGGAAGTCAGGCAAGGAAACGCACCATTGACTCTCAATCTAGTATTAAATTCTGTTACTGAAACAAATATAAATCATGGTATTTAATGATGTGTGCTTTTATTTGGCATAATATTTATATATTTTTTAAAGCGATCATCTTTGTCTATTTGTCCCCGGGTTTAATGTTCCCCTCTGACAAAACAACTGGCCCCAGTTTGGCCCCCTCAGTAAAAGTGGTCTAGAACCACCACTGAAACGCACAGAGCATTTCAAAATAATACGCAATCGTCTGACTCCCGATCGGATATCATCATTACGTCAAAGCAGGCGCCGAATGAGCTACAACTCGACCTCAGAAAAACAAAGTAACGCGTTGTTTGCACGTTGTTCTCTTTGTTCACGTGTGATCTTCTAGTTCTCCTGTGATCTTGTGAACCTGCGAGTACAGCCCCGCTTCCGCTTCAGAAACAGACCCAGTGGGGTATATCGGGCGTGCGCAGTCGGACGGAGCAAGACCCCGGCAGAGACAGAACGCTGCACAACACAGAACCCGTGGAAACCGCGAGTAAGAGTTCATGAACACAAGAAGTTGGAAGAATGATTTCTGAATTTTGGAGATGGGGCCGTTTGAGGAGAACATGGATGCAGCATAAAAAATCAAAGTGACACATTCATGATGGTCAAAACAAAACGAAATGATCAGGTCCATCAATTTATCAATTTACTTTCAGTAGAGTGTAGATCAAGATCTTTTTTTTTTTAAGTGGGTAATTAACCCGTAGAGATCCAGATCTCTTTCACAAGGTGACCTGACCACGACCACATGTCATAATAAACATTAGCCCTGAGCATGGACAGGGCAGATGATTTAACGTGTGTGTGTGTGTGTGTGTGTGTGTGTGTGTGTGTGTGTGTGTGTGTGTGTGTGTGTGTGTGTGTGTGTGTGTGTGTGTGTGTGTGTGTGTGTGTTGACAAAGAAAATATGACCAACCTCTCACTGCCAGTGTGTGTGGAGTAAACAGTCCCTCGTGTTGATAATGTCACCTGACGTGTCCTGAGAGTTTTGTTGCCATTACTGCAATGCATGCTGGGTACACAGACGCCTACAAACCTGCTGAACGGACGGTTTGCCCCTGAAATGTTAAACAGTCTCTCTGGTCTCAGTTGTTTTGTGTGTCTCTCTGTAAATCTAATCTGTACTCGATCAGAGTGAAGTTCATGAGTTTGCCGATGAACTCGGGTATGAGGAACTCTCGGATCTTCTCGTAGCCCATGTGCTCGTACAGCTTCTGAGCGTCTGTCTGCACCGTGGAGGTGTACAGGATGACTGCTGCGTAACCCCTGTCGCGGGTAAAATCAGCGACCGTCCGACACAGAGCTTTAGCGATGCCCATCCTGCGATGACTGCGGCATACGGACGCACGTTTCAACTCCAAGCACGCGGGGGCGTTCTCATTAGGGAGGCAAGCCACCGTGCCCACCACCCGGCCGTCGTATTCTGCCACCCAGAAACACGAGTCCTTCTGCTCCAGGTAGGTCCCTGTGATGTTGTCGAGGTCCTTCTTGAGAGAGGTGTCGATGTATTTGTTGAACATGTACACGACCAGCTGCCGGGCGGCGGCCAGGACGAGCGTGACGGCCAGCACGGGCAGCAGGAAGGACTTGGAGCTGGTCAGGAGGGCGCAGAAGGTGCACATGAGCACCATCTGGGTGGGAGGCTGTTTGAGGAGGTGCATGAAGGAGGACGGGACGTGCTCGCTCATCCCCAAAGTGAAGATCTCCTTCACCGTCTCGGCGTCTTCGTCCTTATACTTACGGATCTGGATACTAGCCATGGCTCGGCTCGGCTCGGCTCGGCTCGGCTCAGCTCAGCTCTATAAAAAGAAAACATTTCAAAATGAGAGGTTACACATCACTACTGTAGTGGCTATTTGTCCAAAAACAAAAAAATCTAAATAAACTAACATCAAACATAATCAAATGACCACTGATGCATCATGGGGGATGTGATGTATGCAGGCAAAAGAAATCCAACGTCCATGCAAGAGATCTGCAGGTTTTTGGTTCAAAAGAAAGAAAACACAAGAACAAAGAAAATCATCTCCTGCTGCCTCTCATAGGCCGACCCAGGTGCATGCTGGTCCTCTACCTGCCTCTGGTGCCCACAGTGTAACCAAAATACTAATACAAAACTAAATTTACTAAACAAATAACTAGCAAAAGAAAATATGACCCCAAATACTGTTTGAAATAAAGAAAACGTGTAGAATAATTAAATAAAGAACTAAATACCAAAACTAATTCTAACAACAATTAAATAGCTCCAATAACTACTATGTGTCAATACTGTCCATTTACGACTCTGTTTTTGCACATTTACATTTAATCTTTCATATTTAAGACTAGTAATGTTTATTTAAATCCTGGTTGTATATATTCACATTCTTAGTTTTGATATTCTTAGTACTTATTTACTTTGTATTTAATATTATATTGTGTGTTTTACTCATATTGTGTGTTTGAACAACCTGCTGCTGTAACACCACAATTTCCCAGTTTGGGATCAATAAAGTCATTCTATTCTATTTACATGTTTTGTTTATTTTCTTTACAGCATGTCAGTGTGTAATAATCTCTCCATGACTAGTATAGGATTTTTGAAAACCACCTGCATGATGCTAAACAACAATACTGTTAAAATATTGTCCTGTTGAGAGGAGGTGACGTAAACTAGAGGAGGTGACGTAAACTAGAGGAGGTGACGTAAACTAGTGAAGGTGACGTAAACTAGTGGAGGTGACGTAAACTAGTGAAGGTGACGTAAACTAGTGGAGGTGACGTAAACTAGTGAAGGTGACGTAAACTAGTGAAGGTGACGTAAACTAGTGAAGGTGACGTAAACTAGTGAAGGTGACGTAAACTAGTGAAGGTGACGTAAACTAGTGGAGGTGACGTAAACTAGTGAAGGTGACGTAAACTAGTGAAGGTGACGTAAACTAGTGAAGGTGACGTAAACTAGTGGAGGTGACGTAAACTAGTGAAGGTGACGTAAACTAGTGGAGGTGACGTAAACTAGAGGAGGTGACGTAAACTAGTGGAGGTGACGTAAACTAGTGGAGGTGACGTAAACTAGAGGAGGTGGCGTAAACTAGTGAAGGTGACGTAAACTAGTGGAGGTGACGTAAACTAGTGGAGGTGGCGTAAACTAGTGAAGGTGACGTAAACTAGTGGAGGTGACGTAAACTAGTGAAGGTGACGTAAACTAGAGGAGGTGACGTAAACTAGTGGAGGTGACGTAAACTAGAGGAGGTGACGTAAACTAGAGGAGGTGACGTAAACTAGAGGAGGTGACGTAAACTAGAGGAGGTGACGTAAACTAGAGGAGGTGACGTAAACAAGTGAAGGTGACGTAAACTAGTGGAGGTGACGTAAACTAGTGGAGGTGACGTAAACTAGTGAAGGTGACGTAAACTAGAGGAGGTGACGTAAACTAGTGGAGGTGACGTAAACTAGAGGAGGTGACGTAAACTAGAGGAGGTGACGTAAACTAGAGGAGGTGACGTAAACTAGAGGAGGTGACGTAAACTAGAGGAGGTGACGTAAACAAGTGAAGGTGACGTAAACTAGTGGAGGTGACGTAAACTAGTGGAGGTGACGTAAACTAGAGGAGGTGACGTAAACAAGTGAAGGTGACGTAAACTAGTGGAGGTGACGTAAACTAGTGGAGGTGACGTAAACTAGTGAAGGTGACGTAAACTAGTGAAGGTGGCGTAAACTAGTGGAGGTGACGTAAACTAGTGGAGGTGACGTAAACTAGAGGAGGTGACGTAAACTAGAGGAGGTGACGTAAACTAGAGGAGGTGACGTAAACTAGAGGAGGTGACGTAAACAAGTGAAGGTGACGTAAACTAGTGGAGGTGACGTAAACTAGTGGAGGTGACGTAAACTAGTGGAGGTGACGTAAACTAGTGGAGGTGACGTAAACTAGTGAAGGTGACGTAAACTAGAGGAGGTGACGTAAACTAGTGGAGGTGGCGTAAACTAGTGGAGGTGACGTAAACTAGTGAAGGTGACGTAAACTAGTGGAGGTGACGTAAACTAGAGGAGGTGACGTAAACTAGTGAAGGTGACGTAAACTAGTGGAGGTGACGTAAACTAGAGGAGGTGACGTAAACTAGTGAAGGTGACGTAAACTAGAGGAGGTGACGTAAACTAGTGAAGGTGACGTAAACTAGTGGAGGTGACGTAAACTAGTGGAGGTGACGTAAACTAGTGAAGGTGACGTAAACTAGAGGAGGTGACGTAAACTAGAGGAGGTGACGTAAACTAGTGAAGGTGACGTAAACTAGTGAAGGTGACGTAAACTAGTGAAGGTGACGTAAACTAGTGAAGGTGACGTAAACTAGAGGAGGTGACATAAACTAGAGGAGGTGACATAAACTAGTGGAGGTGACGTAAACTAGTGGAGGTGACATAAACTAGTGGAGGTGACGTAAACTAGTGAAGGTGACGTAAACTAGTGGAGGTGACGTAAACTAGAGGAGGTGACGTAAACTAGTGGAGGTGACGTAAACTAGAGGAGGTGACGTAAACTAGTGGAGGTGACGTAAACTAGTGAAGGTGACGTAAACTAGTGGAGGTGACGTAAACTAGAGGAGGTGACGTAAACTAGTGGAGGTGACGTAAACTAGAGGAGGTGACGTAAACTAGTGGAGGTGACGTAAACTAGAGGAGGTGACGTAAACTAGTGAAGGTGACGTAAACTAGTGGAGGTGACGTAAACTAGTGGAGGTGACGTAAACTAGAGGAGGTGACGTAAACTAGTGGAGGTGACGTAAACTAGAGGAGGTGACGTAAACTAGTGGAGGTGACGTAAACTAGTGAAGGTGACGTAAACTAGAGGAGGTGACATAAACTAGTGAAGGTGACGTAAACTAGAGGAGGTGACGTAAACTAGTGAAGGTGACGTAAACTAGAGGAGATGACGTAAACTAGTGAAGGTGACGTAAACTAGAGGAGGTGACGTAAACTAGAGGAGGTGACGTAAACTAGTGAAGGTGACGTAAACTAGTGAAGGTGACGTAAACTAGTGGAGGTGACATAAACTAGAGGAGGTGACGTAAACTAGTGGAGGTGACGTAAACTAGTGGAGGTGACGTAAACTAGTGGAGGTGACGTAAACTAGTGAAGGTGACGTAAACTAGAGGAGGTGACGTAAACTAGAGGAGGTGACGTAAACTAGTGAAGGTGACGTAAACTAGTGGAGGTGACGTAAACTAGTGAAGGTGACGTAAACTAGTGGAGGTGACGTAAACTAGTGAAGGTGACGTAAACTAGTGGAGGTGACGTAAACTAGTAAAGGTGACGTAAACTAGAGGAGGTGACGTAAACTAGAGGAGGTGACGTAAACTAGAGGAGGTGACGTAAACTAGAGGAGGTGACGTAAACTAGTGAAGGTGACGTAAACTAGAGGAGGTGACGTAAACTAGTGGAGGTGACGTAAACTAGTGAAGGTGACGTAAACTAGAGGAGGTGACGTAAACTAGTGGAGGTGACGTAAACTAGTGGAGGTGACGTAAACTAGTGGAGGTGACGTAAACTAGTGGAGGTGACGTAAACTAGAGGAGGTGACGTAAACTAGAGGAGGTGACGTAAACTAGTGGAGGTGATGTAAACTAGTGAAGGTGACGTCATTCAGCAGAAGAAGGTCAATCAGGAACTAAAAGTTGTGGAGTCCTTAAACAGTTACTGCTAACATGTGACCACTTTGACCCTCAGACGTTACATTAATACCTTAAAGTATTCTTGCAGTTGAGGTTTGAGGTTTTAGAGTTCTGTTGTTGATGCTAACTTTATCACAGAGTCAACGAAACTAAAACAAAGAATATTTAAAAACACTCAACTGATTAGCTAACAGCTAACTAGCATCGATGCTACACTCACGACGCTGTAGATTGTTTTGTTTGGATCATCTGGAGGGAAAGAAGAGTGGAAATTATTTGAATATGACTTACTGTTGTATCCTTATGACTGACAGCGCGGTTTCGATGAACGTTAGAGCAGCAAAGTGTCCAGAAGTCAGAAGAATTGTCTCATTATTTCACTCCGAGCTGCTCCGGTACTTTCTTACCGCTGCGCTGCGTTCAGGGTCACACTGTAGAATTGGAAATTCGAGGTTCGTTAATTCTGTTATAGACTTCTCGTTTGATTTTGTAATTCTTAAGCGTCGCTATCAAACATTATTTATATATTCAAAGTGAAATGACCAACAGCAGGATGTGGAACCTAAACATTCACACAACCACAGTAACTCACTCACTCACTCACTCACTCACTCACAACTCACACGATCAAAGCTACACACAAACACAACATGAAGAGCTACCTAAACACACAAAGGAACACACACACACAAAATAAATAGGCCTACTTAACCACTAACACACACACGGTCAAAGTTACACGCAAACAACAATTTAAACACAAACAAATGAGGCCCTGAATATTTTTACACACACACACACACACACACACACACACATCAATAATTTGTTGTTGTTTTGTATTACGTGTATAACGTATCGTATTATTACTTTAGTAATAATAAAATAATTGATTATTTAAAAAAAAAATACTAATACTAAAATTATTCTTGTATTCTTTGTTATATTATTATTATTATTATTATTATTATTATTATTATTATTATTATTATTATTATTATTATTATTATTATGCTTTGGCAATGTTGTCACATTCATGCCAATAAAGTTACAGACGAATTGTCGTATTTCCGAGGGGGCTATGAAGAAACATATGTTACGTCACTTCCGGTTTGGCTCTGATTGGCTGGGATTGGCAGACAGCCGGTCTGACTTTGATTATGTAAACAGAGTTACTGAGTCCAAACGTTGAAGTTAATCTGTTGAAACATTAGAGGAGTGAACACTGACGGACACTGCGTCTGTTTCAGGACATTTACGGTTCATATTTTATTAAGAAATAAAACTTTAGGCCATTTGTTTACATAAATCAGGACAGCATGTCTCAACCTTTGTACGGTGGCTGAGTAGTGCAAAAAAAACTGGAATTACATATTCTCTCTCTCCATTTAAATAATATATTTCAAACATTTTGATTTGGTCTTCACAATTATTAAAAAGTATTAAAAATGTATTTTCTGTGTCATATATATAAATATATCATGATATATTCATGACCTTTGAAATATAGCGACTGCATTGCATGGGAAGAGAATATTATTTCTAAGATCACAGGACAAAGCTGAGGGAGGCTAAAGCTGGTGGCCTAGTGGTTAGGTTACAGAATTCAAAATGAGCATCCCGGGTTTGAATCCGACCCGGAAATCCTTTCCCCCCCACGTCATTCAAATTGTCCCTGATGTTTCCAGTTATCTTTTATCTCCTATAATTCCGTGTATGTCTGATCAGAGCCGTGATAGCACTGCAGGACCGTCAATGATCAATCTCTGCATCCAGACAAAGCAGGAGGGCGAGCTTCCTCTTGCCTAAACGTGCTTCTGTTTGATGCTCATGGAGGAGGAGGGGGATCTCAGATATAAAACATAGTTAAAAGTAACAGAGAAGTGTCGGTCATACAGCAGCTGTTGTCAGGAGACTTCTGACATAATTATAAGACGCACATGCAGCGCTTTATATTCAGCATCTGAGTGGACACAGACCCTCACACCTGTTCAGGACTAGATCAGTATATACACAGCTTTGTCCACAGGGGGCGCCAAATCAACACAAACCATAAAGTTCCTCTCAGGAGCTTTGATTTATCTTTGGTATTTGTGGTTTTTTATTTGGGTGAATGTGATGATCCTTGAGCCAATCACAGAGGCCGTCAGTGTGATTTAAAACTACCTGATACACGAACATCAATCCTGAATATACAGCTCGTCCGAGTCGGAGCATCTTTAAGGTGTTCCGGTGATTTCTGTCAAATCTTTGCCAAACATTTGAACACTCTACACACATGATGTAAATACACAAAGACATGATATAAAGGAAAACTCAAAAATGAGGCTCGTGAGTGTCATCCAGTGACGCTCACAAATTCTCTGAGGTCCAACTCTCATAAAAAGGCAGAATAATAACACAGCTCATATTAGTTTACACTACAGCATCCACAGTACAACACATGTCAAGTATCTCACATTACATGAAGACGGGAAACATCATTTATTGTCTCCACAAAAACAAATTTGACTAGAGTTTATACATCGAACGATTGTAACGATTTTCCCTTTTTTTTTTAATCAAGTAAACTACGCTGATAGTCAGATATATAAAATCATTATTTCCCTTTAAACATTTGGTTTTGTCTATAAACAAAACATTCACTTTCCCGCTCAGCTGAGGGAGCAGAAATGGAAGCAGCTTGTTTTTTTGTTTTTGTTTTTAAAATCCAGTTTGTGTTCCTCCAGTGTGTCTCTCTCTCTCTCCGTCCGTCTAGCCCAGGTTGATCGCTCCGGCGAACGTGGTGATCAGCAGGATGATGGTGAACCCGGTGAGCAGCCCAAAGTTCTGGATCAGGAAGAAGATGATCTTTTCCGAGGTTTTCTTTTGTTCCCGTAAGATGTTGTCCATCTCTGGAAACTGCAGAACACAAAAATGACAATCAGATATCTACTGTATGTCTTTTTTAGATTTATGGAGGTTTCACACGAGGGATTCCGAGAACCCTTTGACCCCCCCAAAGTCCGGTTCATTTCATCAGTATGAACAGAAACGTACTGTACTCGCTTTAAGAGGTGGTTGGCGGGAGATGGCAACCGTGCTCAAACCAGGAAGTGGACCGCTATATGACATAACTCTAAACGTTGTATCTGACTACAACAATCTGCATGCCGAGGAAAATGGAAAAAGTGGACTGACTTTAAAACTCATCACAAAGTCTGAAGAGAATGGACGATTTAAAAGGAGGCTAAACTGACGATTGTTAACTGACACCAAAGTTTGTATACTGTGTTTATTTTTGATGTATCCTCATCAAGAAAAGCAAATAAAATATAAGTAATAAAATAAAATAAATGTATCTGCGCATCAAGAGCCGATGTCCTCCTCTGAGCTGCAGATGTGGAAGCAGGAAGCGGTTCGTTGTTGGCGTCTCAGAAAATAACAAAAACATCCACAGTTAGCAGATTGGACTCAGCCTGTGAGTGGTTGCCACGGTTACGTCTTCTGCATTAAGTGCGTCTGTGCTGCTCTCGTGTAAATAAATGCAGGGTTCCCACTCTTTCCCATAGATTATTTTCCAGGACTTTTCCAGACAATTCACTCTCGTGTTGTTTTGTTTTTGTATTTTCGTGAAGCATCTTTTCTCTCCATCTTCTCAACTAAATTGTAAATAAATATCCGTTTTTGACACGATGGTGTTGTGGATTTTTCTGTTGGTAATGAAAGATCTCAAGTCAAAGTCTTTTGTCTTTGTGTATTTTACTGCATATAGTAAAGAGTTCTTTTGCAAAAGAGGTAATCAGCTACCAGAGCATATTTATACTTTCACAGTGTGTAGGTATATTACATATACATGAGGGTGTAGGTATATTACATATACATGAGGGTGTAGGTATATTACATATACATGAGGGTGTAGGTATATTACATATACATGAGGGTGTAGGTATGTTACATATACATGAGGGTGTAAGTATATTACATATACATGAGGGTGTAGGTATATTACATGTACATGAGGGTGTAGGTATATTACATATACATGAGGGTGTAGGTATGTTACATATACATGAGGGTGTAAGTATATTACATATACATGAGGGTGGAGGTATATTACATATACATGAGGGTGTAGGTATATTACATATACATGAGGGTGGAGGTATATTACATATACATGAGGGTGTAGGTATATTACATATACATGAGTGATACATCGTCATTGGTTTCAGCTTGCCCTAGTGACTACGCCTTCTGCTAGTTTGCCTGGTGATTTATCTACGCAAGCTTCTATAAGTCACCTGGTACGGAGGAACATCAACAGAAAGTCCTTTTGTCAGGAGGGCACTGATTTAGGATCATGCTGTACCCACACCCTGAGGAGTGTTCCTGTTGGAGATACAGACCGAGGCCATACAGAGAAATAGTTTCTAACTGCTAAATGACGCACGATCATCCTAATCTTTTAAGGTCAAACGAAGACAACAGACAGATAGTATTTTTCCACCACAACAGGGAGGCGGAGCCAATACCCATTACCCTGTAAATGGGATGCAGACCATAACCCGAATAAAAAGATGTGAATCAAAACCTCTGAAAACGTCAAATCAGACCTGGACAGAGCTCATGTCAGAGGTGAGGTCAGAAGCTGTCGTACAGGATCACATTGTGTGTGTGTGTCATAATGAGGTCACAGCGGCGTGCAGGTGAGGAGTGTCCTCAGGTGTGTAATCTTAACTCACCATGTCTGCCAGTGCAATGTACAGGAACATTCCTCCCGCGATGGCAAAGATTGCGTTGGGGGCAAAGTTGCTCCCGAGCAGGATGCCGAAAAAAAGGCCGACGTAACACGACACCGCTGACAGCAGGTTGAAGAAAATGGCCTGAGGGACGCTCATACCGGCGTTCAGCAGGATGACGAAGTCGCCTGCAGAGACAGAAAGGGAATCAGAGTTTATTATCTAAACTCAAATCTCTTTGAAAAACCTCAAACTGAAGAGTGACACACTTTCTTTCTTTCTTGTTTTTTGTCACTTTTTCACAGTCAAATAATCTGCTGTTCTGCAGAGTGTCAGTAGAGGGCGGTAGAGATCACAGATTTCTGCTGGTGCTTTGAGTTAGATTGAAAAGAAGTAACCCGCTCTTAATCAATAATCCTCTTTTTTTTTTTTTACTTTTATTCACCAAAACGTGCACACACACACTCACACAATAAAAAAAAAAGAGATACAAACAAAGAGGGGAGCTGTGGTACGATACAGTTTTGCAAGCAGATACAGACAAAAACAAACAAACAAACAAAACAAAAGAAAAAGAGTCAGTAAATAAAATGAATGAATTAGAAAGAGGGACAAAATAAGTAAATGAGCAAACAGGACAAAGACAAACATGGAGACAGTATAGTAACAACATTATGTGAAATAAAAACTGGTGGGAGAGGTTGTACACATGGTGAGGAGTTTTGTCGTTGTTTGTTTTTGTTTTGTTTTTCACTTTGTATGGGTGCTAACATGATGATTGCCAAATACAGACTGTTTGTAAATGATCAAAATGGTGGTGAGAATTGTGGAGTGTATTTTGTTGAATTCAGTGAGTTGGTTTTTGAGTGTGGCTGATTGTTGTTCCGTTGATATCTGTTGTGTAAGGAGGTCCAACCATTGTGAAAATCCTCTTTTTAAGATTAACGTCCCTCCTTAGCGGCTTTAAGGTTGCAAAACTTTCATTTAAACTATTTCAACCTGACTCACAGAATCTCACTTTCTGTAAAAAGCACGTTTGTGAAGTCGCTCTGAATTAAATAATTGAGTCCCAGACAGGTTAGCATGAAGCCTCGACTGGATTTTGTGGATGTCTTTTCTCGTTTTATGCACATTTCTGTTTATTTGGTGAATTGCCCTTTGAGATGAACCATCTCGTTTTCGAGGGGCTCCACATTTCCAAAAGTCAGTTTGAAATATTTGTAGATTTTGGAAACATTGGGGTTTAAATCATTAATGAGGTTATAACAGGATAAAAAACAGGAAGTCAAACTCACCCAGCTCATGAGGAAACTCCTCACACACAATGGCGGTGGACGTGCTGAACCCCGTCAGCACGGACACGGTGAACGAGGCCCCGATGGCGAGGCCGTCGATGAAGTTGTGCAGCGCGTCGCTCAGAGTGATCATCCACGCCACCGTCTTGATGCTGGAGATTCGTTTTCCACGCAGCCAGTGACACATCACGTTGGACACCTGGACCTCCTGCAGAGGGAAACAGGACGCATTAAAAAACAAAAACTAACTGGTGCTAGCATACTGACATTTAGCATACTGCTTATTGTTCTCTTTATAATATTAGCTTGTGAGCGTGCTAACGCGCGCTAAACTGCCGTCATGGGTGGAAAAAACACACTAAACTGCCCTCTTGGGTGGAAAAAACACACTAAACTGCCCTCTTGGGTGGAAAGAACACACAAAACTGCCCTCATGGGTGGAAAGAACACACAAAACTGCCCTCTTGGGTGGAAAGAACACACAAAACTGCCCTCTTGGGTGGAAAGAACACACAAAACTGCCCTCTTGGGTGGAAAAAACACACTAAACTGCCCTCATGGGTGGAAAAAACACACAAAACTGCCCTCTTGGGTGGAAAGAACACACAAAACTGCCCTCATGGGTGGAAAGAACACACAAAACTGCCCTCTTGGGTGGAAAGAACACACAAAACTGCCCTTATTGGTGGCAAAAACACACAAAACACTAAACTGCCGTCATGGGTGGAAAGAACACACAAAACTGCCCTCATGGGTGGAAAAACACACTAAACTGCCGTCATGGGTGGAAAAAACACACAAAACTGCCCTCATGGGTGGAAAAAACGCGCGCTAAAGTGCCCTCGAAAACACGCAGTGCCCTCTTCAGTGGCGAGAACGCGCCGTATGTGCCCTTTTCTTTCTTTTCGGCCCTACCCTTCAAAAAGTCTGTGCACACTAAGGATGGAGGGAGGGGGGGAGGTCTATAAAATAAGTAAGTTGAAACTATTCATCTTGTCACAGTTGTTTACTTTCATCGCTCATATCAGCTCATCGGTGTTAAAGTCAGTGAGTTTCATAAACAGCTAAAAACTCCTCGCAGAATAAACAAAGACTCTCTAAGTGAGAGCACGAGCAGCTGCTGATGTAACAACCAGAGGAATCTGAACTCTTCTTTTACACATATAAAGCATGAAGTGTTTTTAATGTGGAAACCTGAGCACACACAGACGTACACAGAGCCTCTGAGCCTTTTGGGTTAGATACTCGACGGTGACAAAACGCCCCTTCTATCAGACAAACAAGGACTCTTTGTGCTCATGCATTCACCAGGAGGGGGGGAAACTAAAGAGATCTACAAGCTTTCTCTGCCCGCTCCCCTCTGTGACAGCCTCTGTGTTTGTTTAGTGTTTTTGATCCCTTTAAAGCCAGACGAGAGATTAAAGTGTTAAATATTAACAGGCGCTCTAATCGAAACCTGTCACTGACGATAATCGACCCGCAAGAGAACGACGCCTGAGTTTAAAAGAAAAGAAAAGCACCTAAACCGCGTCGCTTATTTCAGATCTTTGTCCTTTGATCCAGACGTGTTGTTTTTAAAAAACTGTTAACATAAGCAGATTTTCACTGACGCTCATAAAGCCGATCGTTTACAGCATCATGATAAATACCTGTCAGGTGTGTCTGTGATTGAACCTCCATCAGACGGAGAACGACTGGAGATAAGAGTTCAGGAAAGACTCACTGTTTTCACTCTGCTATCTGCAGACTTCACTGCTCATTAGATTAAGGTGATTGATTGCTACAACACGTTTGCAGGGTAACGATCAGAGTTCATCATCCACACGGCGCGGTGAGGGGAGGTGAGGTCAGTTGGCCTCAGCGTTAGTTACCTGAGATGGCGCTGCATTTGCATGTGCAGACTCCGGGTTCAGGCCGCTCTTGTCCGTGGTAGCGATGGTGCTGATGTTGGTCAGAATGATGGAGTCCTTTTTGTCCAGTAGGTCTCCGTTTTGGAGGGAGTTTTCTTGAGCGTCGGCAGGAGTGAAGTGGCTGTGGCCGTGCTAACCACGAGGAAAGAGAGAGAGACACAAAAACACAGAGTCAGCAGATTGAAGAGACAGAGACACAGCGTGGGGTTGATTGATTGAGTAGATCAAATCATCACAGGGAGCCGTTCATCATTTCTCTTTAGGCTTTATATGAGATTTTTTTATCCTGTATTGTTGTGTTAGCATGCTAATGCTAGCGATCTTTATTATGCTGGTATCTTCACACTGCATGTAAATTTACCTGAAATGAGCGTGATCTAGAAACACAGTTAAGCAGTGAGTACAGTATGTTATTCTTCTTTTCTCTAGTCCCTCAATTAAACAACTTTTATACACGAGGGGAGGAGTCAGCCGGCCGTCCTGGCGATGTAAACAAAGTGAAGATAGGACTCTGAAAACTCTGAAAACATCACAGACAGTGGGACTCGGGTGTTACACCCATTGTAGACAGTCATGACTCACAGAGTTATTTTCAGAGGATAGACTTGATTTCTACATTTAAGAGTGAACAATCACATAGAAGACTTTAAAACCTTCTGAAGCAGTTCAGTTTAAGTTTCATATCTGGGATTTATCTTTGTAACTTGCTTTATAACCTGAGATGATGAGAGTGAGAGTGAATGGGTTTCCAGGGGTTAGCTTCAGCTAAAAGCAGCCAGTTAGCTTGTCTCTGCACCGTTTCATACAAAGGTTGAGTTCCCAAAGTAGTAGTAATAATCATTTATTTCAGTCACAAGAAAAAACAAAACACCTTCTTTTTTTTTTTTTGACCGAAAAGGTGTAGGCTGAAGCTTTATCTTATTACAACTACCTTATTACAAATCTTATTATTTAAGACACTACTAGGTTACAACAAAACATGTCAGAACAAAATTTGTTCTAAGAATTTATTTCAAAAA